AGGTGTCGATCAGCTGGACGGAGAGTTTGCGCAGCGGCGCCTACGGTCCGGGTCGGAGGAGGGGGGCACGGTTCGGCACGAGGGAGGAGACTCGCGCGCAGAGGGCGCGCGCGGCGCCCCCCCCCCCCGCCCGCCCCCTGAGGCGCACAGCCGCCCACCGGGCGGCGCGTGGGGGCGGACGGGCGGCGGCGCGCCTCGGCGGGATCGCGCGCTCTCCGCGGCGGCGCGGCGGAGGGCCCCGCCGCCGCCGCACTGCTCGCAGCTGCGGCCTGCGCAGCCGCCCGCGCCGCGCTTCGCGTCTGCGCATGCGTCGATCCAGGCGCGCCGCCGGCCGCCTCGACCTGCATCTGCGCGGCGGCGCCGCCGCCGTCGGCCGCAGCCACCATGTTCGCGAGAGCGCTGATATCTGGGACAGCACTGCTCCCAGGCGCTCCGCTCTGCGCGTACCGCACGAACGGCGACACGTCGGTGTTGTGGTTCGCCAGCCACGGCGCGCGATTGTCCATCGGCCGGGGCCGCTCGCCCACGGTGGGGCCGCTGCTGCCCGACGTCTTTGCCCGGTGCGCGCCGCGAGGTGCGGCGGGACCAACGCAGGCGGCGGTCTACCTCTACCTGTTGTGTGACGATCAGGTTGAAAGGCTCTTCTAGGTAGGTCTGCGCTCGCGTTTTTCTTTTTCTTTCGTTACCCCCCTACCCTTTGTGTACACTTTAGGGGCAGGCAGTGAATGGACGAGAGTAGGGATGGACGCGCGGCGTTGGCGGGGTTAAGAGCTAGGGTAAGAGACGCCTCTTCAAATCTCGGTCATAAAGGCCTCGTGCACGGCCGGGCAAGCCCAGGCCCCGCCGCGCTCTAGAGCGGCTCCCACGGCCACGCTTCTCGGTAACGATCGAAGAAGTCCCCCCCCCCCCCACCCCCCCGAAGAAAGAAGTCCAGCTTCCTTACCACGTGGCGCGACCCGCTCCTTGAAACACTCGAATCATTGCGCGACGATGCTGCAGGGGAGGGTTGCAGCGCCCTCGATGAAGTACCTCCGGGAGCGCGACGATACCGGTTTTATGGGATCTGGTGCCTCGCTTCTCTCGCTGCGACCGCATCCGGGGGCCTGGGCCGAACGCCTCGGTTCGCCAAAGGGAACACTGCCTATGACTGCGGCACCCACGTCGGATCGCCGCCCGGGTCGCCCGCGGGGGGCCCGCATAGAGCGCCGCTTGTCGGGGGAGTGCCAAGGAGGTCGAAGAGTGCAGGCTGCCTCCCTCAAAACGGCGCCGAAACGGTGTGGGGCCGCCCTCCGCGCTGCTGTGGGGCTCCTGCGCTGTGGGCTTCACCATCGTGTCCTGAGTAAGTTGCCGAAGCCAACTGGCGTTCGCCGGTGCCTTGACTTTTCCTGCCATCAGGTTA